AAGGAAGCAAGGAAGCAAGGAAGCAAGGAAGCAAGCAAGCAAGGAAGCAAGGAAGCAAGGAAGCAAGCAAGCAAGGAAGCATGGAAGCAAGGAAGCAAGGCAGCAAGGCAGCAAGCAAGGAAGCAGGAAGCAAGGAAGCAAGGAAGGAAGCAAGCAAGCAAGCAAGGTCCCTTTTAAACAAGAGAAAGCAACAAAACAATATATGTGTGTTTTACATTCTCCAAATACGTGCAATCGAAACATGCTGAAGCTTCACCAGAATTCACAGATGTCCAGTTTGCCCCTCGTGCTCTGCGATCCTCTGGCTTTTGTGTCCCTGGACCTTTTGCAGCTCCAACATGTAAGGACGTTCCAGGTGGATCTTGTCCTCCCAACTTGTGACCTGCAAAAAGCAAAGAGCGGCGACGAGTTTCGGTGAGTGGAGTCTGTGAAGAAGATCCGCTGCAAACACTCATCCGCCCAAGTCTTGCGTAAACACTCATGTCTTTTGGAAGTCAAGTTTTGCGTCCTCGGTTCATTGTTGACTCTATCTTCATCCCTCGCATGTGTCTTGAGGCTTTTCATCTTATTATCTCACTGACATTCAAGAATGCCCAGTGACCCTCAAGGTGCTTCCTTGGGCTCTTCGCGCGCACGCGGCACAGGTCCAGCTGGCGCTGCTCCACTCGCCGCAACGCGGCATCCACGGTGTCTTCGTGGCGCACCGAGGCAGCGCAGCCCATGGTAAAACGTGGCGTAACCCTCCAGAGATGTTTGATGTCCAGAGTCCCATCTGAGCCACAAACAGCGGTCTTTGAGAGCCAAAAACAGAACGACAAAAAACCTTACTTTTTGCTGAGCATCCACCGCAAGATTTTCATATGTCTCCAACGATCCCTCTACTCATTTTCCCATCTCCGTCGCCACTGACGCCAACATTCACATTCTCAACCCTTCCGACATTTCTTTCTGCACCTATTTTTCTCTTCTGCCCCGACTGTTTACCACCTGTTCCTTTTGGTCCCCACTCCCGCTCTTCGCCGCTCATCTTCACCCTTCCTCCTCATTGGGGCTGCACTCGCCGCTCGGGCCGAGTTCCGCGAAGATGTCGACCAAGTTCAACGACTCCGAGGACTGCCGTGTCAGCGCAGAGCTCCGTGGGCTCCGGGGCGCTCCAAGCTCCGCGGTGGAACGCGGGGTGCAGGCCGTGCGCCTTGGAGATGGGGGTGACATGGCGGTCCGTGGAGGCCACAGAAAGGGCGTAGTGATGACGAGAGGAGGACTACGAGGCAACGGCACGCCTTTGCCAGGCGCCGTCAAAAGCGTGAACCTTTTCAATGTGCCACGTGAGTAAGCCAACACGGCAATACGTCGGCATAGCACGTGTCATGTGCTCACATATGTGCAGGCACAACAACGCCACTACAAGCAAGCCAGCAAAACTGTTCCAGAACGCCAGCAAGTCAGCGCGACAGCGTGACCGACAATATGTCAGCACGTTCGCATGTTGGCGTTACCGACGCGCGTGGCAACACCTCCGCGTCAGAGACACCGCATATCTGCAAAATGCTCCGGATTTTCCACCATCACCTCCTCCAGAAGCTCCAGAACCTCCTCTGCAACCTCCTCCAGAACCTGCTCCAGTTGCTCCGGAACCTCCTCCGGAACTTGCTCTGGAACCTGCTCCCGAACCTGCTCCGGGACCTGCTCCGATCTGCTCCAAAGTCTTTACTATGGCTAAAAACCCCTAAGCTTCGCTGTTGAGGAAAAATGAAGGAAAAGATGGGAAGAAAATGCTAGAACAGAACATATGCTGCTGAATCTTTTTTCTTCAGAACACAGTGGTTTGCATCACTGATTTGCCTGTCTAACGAAGCCCTCCTTCCCTGTAGCCAACTCTTGTCTGAAAGTCATCATACCAGGAAGTCGGCAGGAGAAAAGGCCTTCGTTTCGGTTTCACCCAGTAGGTCTGAACAAACCCTATCCATGTTGGATGATGTGAATTTGGATGCGGTCCCAAGCCTCCTAAGGCCTCAGTCTAGATTCCTAGATGCTGCCAATCGGCTGGGTGAGTTGTGGCTGTGTGGAGTGATCCCAAACGCTGTGCACAGCATCTCGGCTCACCTCCTCCTGGAGTCCTGCAGCCACCAAGATGTTTACAGGAAGCACACTTCTTCAAAAGCGAGCTGCAAAGAAACTCCTTGTTGCAGCAAGTATGTCATTGTCTTCCCTCTTTTTGATAACATTTCATAACTGGCAGACTGGAAGTCTTGAGGAAAAAAGATCCACACAAACATCCCCATGCATGGATTTGGCATGTTCCAACATCCCGCCCAGCCAGTCGAGCCCTCCTTTGTCCACGTAGCTCTCAGTGCAATAACCTCAGGTGCCAAACTTCACAGCTTAAACGACCTCTGCGAAACGAAACCTCTATGTAACTGTCCGGCCAAAAACCACGGATTTTCCCTCCGATTCGGAGCGTTGGCTGCGGACTCAGGCTTTGGACGACCCTTCAAAAGAGGTGACTAGCGATGGCCTCCAACCTAATAGCGATGAAGCGTTGTGCAGAGCCCAAGGTCTGCAGAGTTTGTGTCCAAGCAGCACCATTGTGTGCCGCAGGCCATCTGACTATGTGCCTACAGCGGACTCACCCTGAGAATTGAGTTGTCCATCAATCAACTGCACCACTCGAATCCCAAACGAAGCAAAAGGTCATCGAGCTGAACAAAAACAAAGGCAACCTGTGTTACAACCGCCGGATATAAATGGTAAAAATGCAGAGTTTAAGGAGGGTGTTTCCTTTCCCATAATAGCTGAAAGCCAATTCCACAACATGACTGAATGGACTCAATCGCTTGGTCACACTTGGTCTCTTTGGCTGCTTTTCACGTGCCTCTTGAGCCAGCTCGGACGGGCACGGGCCATTGCACCGGACTGAAGAAATTCCTTTCGCTTTGGGACGCTGTTCGGACATGTTCATCACTGACTTCGACCGAAACTTCGCTGTTGGACTTTCGGAAGTCAAACATGGCCTCAACGTGTTAAGTTTGCTCTTTGTTCGGGTTCTCAAAAGAGTATCTGGCCCTTCATCAAGCCAATTTCAGTGTCTGTGTGACCCTCTGAGCCTTCAAGTCTGCGGGCTCAGCACAGCAGAGCGCATCAATTGACCATTTGTCACGACTCATGAAGTGCAATTTCTTCGCCAGCTGCGCCACGCTGCGCAACACATTTCCCGCAAAAACCGTCGTCACCCGGTCCAACAAACTGAACACTTGGATGCGTCCCGAGGTTGGTTTTAGGCCGTCCAAAGCGTTTAGCGGGGAGAGTCCAGTCGGACGCACCGGCTCTTCGACCGGACCAAACCACTTGGAAGCTGCGCTTGGGCATGCGGATTGCCAAAGGCGCCCCTGCATGGAGACTTGGCAAGAAACGGACAAATCTTCAATGAAAACATCGTTTAAAAAAGGAGTAAACACATCCCCCCGGCCTGTACTCTGTGAAATGCTGGCACTCCAACTAGGTGCATGAAGTGAGCAGGTTTTACAGGCTTGTGAACCTGACAGAACAAGCTGCATTCTGTGTTCTCGGAATCCTAAAACACCCAAAACCCAACTAAAGTTCATGAGGTGTGCTATCGCATTGAATCTGTTTGGTTGTCAAAAAGACCCTCGAGTGCTGAATCATTCACGAAGGCAGTTTCGCTAAAAAGGCTGCAAACCAACAGGCTTCGCAAGGGAGAAAACTAGTCTGCTCAGAGTAGGCTGCAAACAGCAAAGGTGCTCGACAAACAGGCTAGATTGTCCTCTGAATTGGTTGTGAGAGCGTTTGCTCTCGAATTGTGCTCGCATGTACTCGTCTCGATTTGAGAGTATTGTAGTTGTTACTTTGTTTAAGATATTAAAGGTGAATCGCCACATCACTGGCGCACATCTATGATTTCGCATCTGCTTGCTCCAAGAGTTTGAAACAGGCAGGTTGCTCAACCAGGCAGCGTCTGGGCCAGATCACACCTTTTTCGTCGCTCAGCGCGGCTTCCGCCGGCCCTTCACAACTGAGGTGAAACCATCCTCGTCCACAACGGGCTCAGGGATGTCCCGCTTGGCATAACCACCCACAGTGGGCCTTGGGTGATTCCGGAGCTTTTATGGAGCTTGGATTTGGTGAGATCATGTGTTCCACTCCGGCGCGCATGTCAAACTTGCTAATCCTATTTTCTAGTAACAAGTGCCACGCTTCTAGTAACAGGTGCCTTACTAGTAGTAACAAGAAGCCATTAGAAACAAGTGCATCGCTACTAGTAACAAGTGCCTTACTACTAGTACAAAGTTCGTCAAATCTGCTCGGTCTTGTGACCCAAGTTCCCCAAACTGTGCAGCTGTGGGCTGCTCGACAAGATCCTGCAAGGCCTGCAACCCACGGGCACAGTGCCGTACCGGCTGGGTGCAGGAACCGAATCCATGCAAAGCCACCACTTCTGACGCTTGAAGAAAACGACAGGAAGGCACCATAAGGCACAATCCAACGCGGCCTTGTCATCCGACTCCACATCGCTCCCCTGCCCCACTTGGCACTGGACTTGGAAAACTTGGAAACCCGGAAAAGGAAAACCCGAGGTGTAGTCAGTCTTGCGACGACAAGAGCATCACCGTCCGACAGGATTTGACAAATGTCCATTTGGGGAATAGTCTGTTGGAGCCGTTCAGCAAGTCGTTTCAGCACGTCGTTGGGTGCGAGAGCCTCATCAATCTCCATCCCATCCAACTTGTCGAGAAGCTCATCCTCCTCCGTGGCGTACTCGATGCCTCGAGAGGGTCTCCCAGGTCCAAGTGAGTATCTCAGGCTGGCAAGATATGGCGCGTTGCTCGATATGTCAGGAAACATTCCGAATGTCGCAGAAGTCACAAGACTGCTACTGTGATCCTCCGTCCCATCCCCAAGCTTCCCGGCGCTCAGAGCCCTGACTCTTGGCCAGGTCTGGCTTGGAGGTGGAGTTGCAGGCCTTGCAAAAAGGACCAGGGTTCGCTTCGCCCTGGCTAAGCCCTCCAAAGGACATCTCGGATCGCCGCCCACGACAGCGCACCGCCCACGCGCCTGAAGAACTTGGTCAGCAAAGCTTGTGTCGCCCTGATGGCAAGTATTGAAAAGCCGCAGGCCTGGCTGCACGAAAACACGATCAGGTCATGGTGGATGAAACCTCTCAATCTTCTAGCTTGCTTCTCAATACCAGTAGACAATACCAGTAGACAATACCTGGCGCAATCTGTGGCCACTTCCAAGGCGCAAAGTGTGGCCACTTCCGTCGTGGAGCCGTCATCCGTCTCGGTGTTGAAGAGCTCATCGATGCGAAGGTAGAGGAAGTGAGCAAGCTCCTGAGCCGATCAATCTGGCACCACTTCGGTTTGTATGCATCGTAGGTCACCGGATGTTTTTTGTTTAGCTCTGTGTTTACTACGTTTTTCAACTGATCCATTTGGAATTTGGAAGCACAGAATCCCTTGCCTCCACGTCTCCAGGATTCTCCCAGCTGATGGGCCGTCGCTTCCTGCAACAAGAGGCCAGCTAGCTGGCGCCTTTGGCACTTGATGTTCTACACTGCAGCTTGTGGCTGCACAATCGTGCCTTGAAGAAAGAGTCGTGTTGCTCGGAGCGTTCGAAAGGTTGGACCATACATTTGGTAACGCAAGCTTCTGCACAGTTCCGTGATGACCAGCTCTGTGAGTTTTGTTGATTAGTCTACCATGTTTTTCCAGGAGAAGTCCGAGAACTGTCCACATCTGCACTGTGTGCGATCGTCTGCTTTCGCTCATCTTTGCAAACGATCGTGGAGTCATTTCTGCTCATCTTTCGTGTCCTGGAACCAGCACTGAGATAGTCAACCACCTCAGCTTGTAGCCGTCTTCCCTTCGCGAGGGAGTCTCGGCCACCCCAACCTGTGCACGGCTCCGACAGCGTGCACATGCCGAGATGTTTGGTTCTGCAGCATGGGTGCATTACAAGTTTGGATGTTCACGGCAGAGATCGCTCTGGCCAAGTCCCGGCCTTGTTCTGTTGCAAGAGCTAAGGTGGTCCATCTCTGAAAGATCTGCTGGATGGCCTGGCCATGATGCCATGGCCTTTCAAGATCCATTCAGTTTGTTATCATTCCGTTTAGCAAAAATGACCTTGTATTTTCCAAGCTGAAGGAGAGTTGCTGTTCGGATGTCTAGATGTTTACAGAAAGAACTGCAGAAACCTGTTTCCGTGGCTTAGCCAAACCAAGGGAACATGACAAGTCTTTGAAGAGCTTCGAAGCTTCTAGACTGCTGTGGACATGGTTCCATGGCGCAAAAAGACTTTGAAGCAACGAGATATTGCAAATAATGCGAGCCGCATCAAAAAGGCCACATGCCCAATGTGGCCTTCACTCCTCACGCTACTTCCCCTGCCTCGTTGAATTTCTGTTCCATCTTCCTGTGCAAGCCAATCACCATGGCAAGCAACGTGAAAAAGGTAGGAACACGACAAGCCGAGAGAATTTCCGGAAGAGCTTCTCAAAACCAAAAAGAACATCGAATGATTTGTTTAAAGCGTTGAAATCCAATGAATGTCTAATTTCTGTCTTTGCATTGGACTCGGACTTGCCTTGCGTCGTTTGGCCGCTGCTTGGCCTACTGAAACGCCTGGCGGGCCCACAACATGCTGGCTCCCTCAACGCCCTCAACGCTGCACGTTTGGGTCATTTGAAATGCCCGCTTTGGCCGTTTGGGTGAAAAACTGTTTTCAAATCTCTGGAAAAGTGATTTGCCCACTGCAAAACTTTCAAAAACCTCTATTTAGAGTCGCTTGCTTGGCAGTGGTTCACCAACATTCAGATTGCCAATTCAACCGGGTGTCAAGGGAGGAATGAACATCAATGGCTGCAAGATTGAAGTGAATTTCCACGTCCTACTGGTTTTTGTCGTCTTGGGCAGGAAGGCTTACGGTCACCTCAACCCCGGCCTATGTTTCAAAGAGGTTGTAATACTTGTAATACTGACACTGAACATGCAGTAAATGCACTTTCGAGATATGTGTACAGTAAGGAAAAGGGGAATGCCATCAAAGAACGAACAATATGATGCTCTCGGGCGAAAGTCATGCAAACCATAAACTAGCTTTGAACGTACACAAATCCGACAACTAGGTATTGGGCACATGTCCAATTCCCATCCTCATCTTTGGGGCCCCGACCAAACTCATAAGGGATGCACATGCAGTTCTTGAAGCGCATGCGTCTTGAACCCCTTGAGACTGGCTTCGCAAGTGACCTTTCCCAAATTCAAAAAAATGGTCACTATGCTGCTATGTTCCACCTGAGCAGTGTGAAGGGCCAACGCAATCAACCGTTCACCTCTATAAAAATATGATCTCCACAATATTTCCAGCCGTCAAGTGAGGCTGCAACCAGCAACGCAACAGCAACATGCTTCGGGTGAAACCCTCAATCTTTGAGTTTGACATCGCACCAAAGAACACCAAGGTCTGACACCCACAACGCGGTCGCCCGTAAATGCGCAAAATTAAAACAGGAGATTAGGCGGAGGAACACTCAATCGCACCAACAAGGCAAGAGAGGATGGAAAAAACTTGAGAAGGCTGAAATAAAAGGACAATGCTCCCCACTAAACATTCATGCGAAAGCGGTCCTTTTCTCGAACCTGAATGCGACCTGCGGTACACAGTTGTGAGACATGAATCTGTTTCAAACTCTTTGGTACTCCTCCTTTGGTGGCGAAGTTAAAGCTGCTCTTCTCTCTTCTCGCTTGGTCTACTTCAATCAATGACAAAAATCACCACCTTTTCCAATTCTTCGTAAAGTTTTTGCAGTTTCACTCTGTCATCAACTCTTCAAGTTTCAAGTTTCAACAACTCTTCTCTTGCCTGCAATGATGCTCTAGCTCTCAAATATGTCCATCTTCTCATCAACATCTATTGGTCCATCTGTTGCTTCGTCTTGTTCACTTGCTCTCATTGCTGCGGCATCGTCATGAGTTGACCTGTCTGGTCCTTCAATCTCCATCTCTGGTTCTTCTGGTGGTTCGATAGGTGGAGGAGCTGTGAGTTGCCTCTCATCCATCGTTCCCGGTACCAATTCTGAACTCAAGTATTCTACTGGAATTTCAACTTCTCTTCCATCATCCAGTGAAACTGTGGCCGTCATGCCACTCAAATTGAGTATGGTCCACGGATGGGTCGCACGACGTGACGCTGACGTGACGGTGACGCTGACGTGACGTGACCTGGGCGGATACTTTCGTTGACTCCCACTCACTGACGTGACAGTGACGCTGACGGGGACGTGACACTGCCGGGCAAATGCATGACATGACACGTGGGCGACGGTGACGTGACAGTGACGGTGACGTGACGTGGTTGGCAGACATGCATGGTGTATAGTGATAGTGGTAGTAGTAGTAGTCGTCGTCGTCGTCGTAGTAGTAGTAGTAGTGGTAGTGGTAGTGGTAGTAGTAGAAGAAGTAGTAGTAGTAGTAGGGGTAGTAGTAGTAGTAGTAGTAGTAGTAATAGTAGTAGTAGTAGTAGTGGTAGTAGTAGTAGTAGTCGTCGTCGTCGTAGTAATAGTAGCAGTAGTAGTAGTAGTTGTAGTTGTAGTTGTAGTAGGAGTAGTAGTAGTAGTAGTAGTAGTAGTGCTAGGGGTAGCACTAGCACTAGCACTAGCACTAGTGGTAGTAGTAGTAGTTGTTGTTGTTGTTGTAGTAGCTACTACCACTACTACAACTACAACTACAACTGCAACTACTTCTCCTACTACAACTACTTCTGCTACTACTACTACTACTGCTACTACTACTACTATGACTACTACCACTACTGCTGTTGCTACTACTACTGCTACTTCTACCACTAGTACGTACTAGTGGTAGAAGTAGCAGTAGTAGTAGTAGTAGTAGTTGTTGTTGTTGTTGTAGTGGTGGTAGTAGTAGTTGTAGTTGTAGTTGTAGTTGTAGTTGTGGTAGTAGTACTTTTTTTTGCACGAGTGGAGACGCCATGTGTGTGGTGTGCACAGGTCATCTTTTGCTAAGGTTTGAAACTCCGCGTACTCAAGAAGCGAAGAAAGGGGAAAACAGCAAAACAAACAACAAACCAAAACACCAAACCAGCAACAAGACCAAAAAAAACGCGAGCGAGAACATCGGAGTTTCATCTCTGTACATCTGAAGTGAAACAAGGTGAAACGGGAACTACGGCTGTTTGCTACCTGGGCCACGAGTTCTAATTCAAGCTGCTATTGCGGGTGTTCGATTCATATGCGAAGAGGCTTTGCACGATCGGCCTGTGTGTGGACAGGCCAAACAAGCACTTGCTGGCGCAAGTGCTCTAGCTATCTTGCAGCTTACTGATATTGAGCAGAGCCTGTGAAGTTCCATAGGAGTGCAGCAAGTCAGAAGTTCGATGATCAAAGAGCAATGAAGGTCTGGCCATGGAAAACAGCAGTAACCTGGTCACGATTGTTCCAAGCAATTGCGAAGGCAGGGAAAGCTGTGGCCTGCTGCGGGCATATGGAAGTCATTGCTTTCAGGCGCGCCTTCCGGCGCCTGGCGCAGCTCCCTCGAGCAGAGGGAGCAGGTGTTGCACATCTCAAGCAAGCTCCTAACAGCTAAGCCTATAGGAGCACAGCAAATGTGCAATGTGCTATCCTGGCTGGATAACAATTCGATTCATTAACTGACTCGCCTCCATCATGCAAGGCCCTAGTGAAACATAGTGAAACATGGGAAGGCTAGTGTGGTGCCGTTTGCCCACTTGGTACAAGGTTGGCAGGGTACGGACCCACATCCAGGCCAAGAACTAAGGTTCTCACCTGGGTTCCAACCACCTGTCTATTCTACCGGCGCGGGCAGACACAGGTCGAGAACTAAGGTTCTCGCCTGCGAAACACCAGAACCCCAAACGACCTCACAAGGCCCGAACCCAACAGCACCGCAAGCGTCAAGCGACCTTTTGCGCGACACACAACCAACGCAAGGTACTTTACAGCGTGTACATTTTCTGCATGTCTATCTTCTTTAAACTCCATTGCTCCATCCTCTTGAAGGTGAGCCGAAAACAAGTGTGGTTCGTCCGAAAACGACGTTCGAACGATTCCCGCAAGGCGAACGAACCTAAAGTGGATTCCATTGGACCCAAAAGTCACCCTAGTGACGTCCAACCCTTCTAATTCCATAAAGATCACTAAGATCTCTTCTGCGCCACCACTCTAGCACCCACCAGGAAAGCAAACGAGGAAACACGATTTGTGTTTCCCCGCGTCAGACACCACACTTTTCAGCACGATGATCCCCGAAGAGATCCTAGGACACACCTCGTGGGCACCCCCAGTGTGGCTTATGTCATCACTTGGGAGGAAACCCAAAAGAGGGTAAACCAAAAGCAACCAGACACATAACCTCCCAGGGTATGCGATACGAGTGTGTGTGTGGTATGTAAACAATATCCACAGGATGGATGTCGTGGGCATCCATCAAGCATTCACCAAATTCTCCAACACGTAGATGCTCCAAAGAGCGTCGAGAGTGCCTCCAACATACACAGCTGCTCCGAGGAGCATGCAAAAGTTCTTCAAACACTATCGTCCAGAGACGATACCATGCATATGGTCATCTAGTCACGGCACCGTCCGAAGCGGTCGAAGCGAACGTTCTCGACAACAACTGCGTCCTCAACAACAAACACTCACCCCGACTTCTAAGGGAATACTCTTTGGTCAACTGTCTCACTAGTTCAAACCCATTCCCCAAATAGGTGGTAGCGTTTCCAAAAACGTCCCCCGCCGACGTACCCGGAATGATGTCCAACCCTTCCATGAAACCACTAATCATCATCGAAATCCTAGCATGGTTCGAAAATGCCAGCTTCAAAAACGAACACAAACGAATCGCACGAGTCTGTTGGTCCTTAGATAGCGTCCTCCACACTATCGGACTAGGCCACATCGACGCCTGTTCTATCTCTCTTCCAAACTGAATGGAACCCAAAGAACACCAGTTCACCAAGGAGGTCAAATACCCAGTCCAACCAATCACCTCTTCTTCCCTAGAATGCCACCGTTCCACATTCGGGGTAGGTGGATTACCAAGCCGCTTCTCACTCTTGCTGAAAACGTCTCGATCGTCCGACGACGAATGAGCCACGTGCTGACGCATGCCACTTGGAAGAGGTAAAGTGTTCCGCCTATCATCTGGTACAAACGCACGGCCGTTCTCAACCGGTGTTTCCCCCAAACGATCAGGCACAAAATGCCCTCTATTTTGAAGCAAATTTCCAACACTTTGAAAAACAGACTGCAACTGTAATGCGTTCATGCTCTGCAACAACGTGCGTGTGTGCATCACAGGATCTACCGTACCATGTTGGCTCGGAGCCATAGGAGCTTGTTGTTGATGCATCTGTGCGAATGGACCTAAGTTTC